TCCTAGGACTGTTTTTTTTAAGAAGTACATACCCAAAGTTGAGTAAAAAAAACCTTTAAAAAGTTAATTTTGCATAATAGGTGCCCTTTAATAAAAAAAAAAAACCTACATCTAAGGTTGCACGAGGTTAGCAAATGAACTGTATTAGAATTAAATATTGCGATGGGCCAATGGCGCGGAATAAATACAAACTATGCTTTGACTTTTAGCTACACTTCCAGTGTAACAAATACATTCAGGAAATACATTAGTCATTTTGTCCTCTCTTTTCCAAGAAGTTCTTTTTGCTCACAGCGTCCAGCTCATTACTGTTTTTAATCCTCTCTTTGTTTGCAAGCAGTGCTGAGTAAAGCTGCTCACACTGCTCAGGTTGAACTCTCCCGTCATTTAGATCGGTTTCTAATGTGGTGACCGGCTCGAGGGCGAAGGAGAACCGTCTGTTTAACCCTCTCCTGAAATAACTGTCATTGTTTTCACATCAGTGTGAGACAGAGCGAGGACTGGATCCACCAGTTCAGAGACAAGCAGGAGACAAATATACAAAGAAGGTGCAGCTAGGTGCACATCCGGTACCTGGTGGTGCAGTGGTGCCAAGAGGGGCTGCTTTTCGCCTACGCTTGATGTCCCCTGTACACAAAGAGCCAAGGTGTCCGCTGGTCTGTCTGCAAAACCAGACGGGCGACACAAAAATATGTTGATCTCTAGAAGAAATAACAACAACAACAAGAAAATCTTGCTAATATGGGAGCAAAGTTACACGCTCACCCTGGTTAGAAATTAAATGTGTTTTAAGGTAAACTGCTCTGACCTGCTTGCTGTTTTTACTGAACAGGTCCTCCGGTGCCCTCTGTCTGATCGTGGGTCCCAGTGCAGCTGAAGTCGTGAAGAGAGAAAGACTGAAAACTTATTGTCTGAGCAATAAAAACAACAATCACGCTCACACCTGTTTGACACRAGACTCACCTGTCCGTGCTCTCTCCTTGATCCCGAGCTGAACCAGGGCCTGTAGAACAATGAAGAAATCTGTTTAAARTTCTCTGTGTGAGCAGATCACGAAGAAAATGGATGAAAAAATGGTAAACAAAACGTGAACAACAAAACTCACTCRTGTGAGTCCTGGGTTTGTCGGCTCCGCCTCTCGTTGAAGCCCGGACCAGAGCCTCCCTGAAGGCCCGCCTCGGATCCCTGCTGGCCCCCATGAAGACGACTCAACCTGGCCTGAAACCCTGAAAAACATCACTGGTTTACTCGCAATTAAGAAAAAGTTTGAAATTATTTTAGTTGTTTGTAACATTTAGATGCAAGGAGGCGAGGKTTCATTTTAGATTACAGAATGACGGAAATAAAATGGGAGTTTCATGTTTTATTTAGTGTTAGGGTCTGTGCATAGACTTAAATAAGAACACTAGACTGAGCCCAGCCTATCCTGTCCACTGGTAGTGTCTGACAGCATGGAGGAGCAGAAACAGACCAAACAGGGCAACAGCTCACAGCCTCCATAGAAACTAATAGATAAACAGCAAACTGAAYTGGATCTGTTTCACAAATTATCTGTCATGTTTTTACAATAAATTAATAATTATGTTAATTTCATTCAACGATCATGTAAAACAGCAGATTTATACCAGAAAAATATATAATTTATAAATAACAATGATCTAAWCCAGAYGTGAAGATTAGACTTTAGCTAGTTGAAAAATGATGACTTCAGCTAGTAATAAAGTATATTTATTATTTCTTCTTACGGTCATAAAAAATAAGAATATTTATATTTACCAGTCAACAGTTAGAAAATGTTCTCTGGTTATAGGATGAAACTTGTCTCTATTAGCTAACATCTTCTCAACAAGTCAGGTTCTTCTAACAGAAACCTAAAAATACTCACATTTATAATAATATTTTACACCCTAGGTCTAAATATTAATCAGAAATTTATAATTTTATTTTACACTCTGTAGGTCTAAATATTTATCAGAGGACAAAGTAATATTTAATAGTTTGTGTTAAACTGTAGCATGATTCAACAGAGCTAAACTCTGTATATATGCTCCACAAGCTAATATCTGCTAACCAGTTCAATAAATAACAGTGATTACATTCGACTTTATAAGATTATTTTAATTTTAAACTGTTACGTTATGTTCTGCACAGATCACATTGAGCTAAATAAGATCAAATCTGCTGACTTGTGTTGTGAAATGAGACATTTTCCTGTTTATCTTCTGTTAATAAATCCAAAACATAAACAGCTTTTCTGGCATTATTTAAAACATTAGATAGATTATATAAACTGTAAAATATTAATAATAATTGGGTTAATATTATTATTAACAGTTTTTTATGATTCTACATCATCAGTCCTTTTTTCCTGCTCTGTTGTCAACATGTACAGTTATGGTAAATCCAGAGTCTTGACCGTTTTGCGTTAGCCGTTAGCTTCACCAGCCGATCACACGGTCACATGGTTTCTGAGCTACAGCTGTTATATACACCTCCATGGGTCTGTGTTTCATTGTTGATTTTTTTAAAATCTTTTCGCATCTTTAGGGGAAAGTGTGTTCCTCCTCCCCCACCGACGGCAGCCTACCTCTCTGCGCTCCAGGGCTCAGGAGCGGAAAAGATCCCGTGAGAATGCTGCTGAAGACGGGGTCGACGAGGTCCAGCTCCTCCGACGCCGTCTCCCGCTCCCACCAGGGAACCACTCCCGCTATGCCGCACGCGCCGCTGGGCCCAGAGCCGGAGCCCGGGTCGCCCTCGCAGAACCAGTCGCTCTGCTCGTCGTCGCCTGGAGCCAAAGTCAGAAAATGAGACCTCGCGGGGAAACGCGAAAACCTAATAAATACATCTCTGCACACAAAAGGAACCTTCTGAACCAAATTTTGGCAAAATGCTTTACGTAAACAATTGTTGAAAAGACAAAACAAAGACAYGATTACAGCCTCACTCTTTAGTGTGTTCATTAAGACAGTTTTAGTCACCTTGCCTCCCCTCATCATTGGTATAGAGACCCCCGTCACTGCTGTTACTCACACTGCTGGTCTCACTGAAAGAGACACAAGAAAATATCAATAAATCAGAAATTTATATTAAAATTAAAGGTCAATTAGTTAAAACTAGTAGAAGAATCAGCTTTAAATCTAGAAGCACTTTTTGTAAGTGTTAAAATTTGAGCGTYGCTGTCATGTTTTCCCACAAATCTTGTTTTTTTTTTTTTGCATTTAAACCTTATTTCTACCTCGCATTTTGTGCAAAGCTGTTCATGGCTTGATGAAGACAAGCTAAATGTGCAAATCTTACTCAACTCACAAAGTCTCTCGACAATCCCCATTTTTATTGTCAGAGGTCCCAACGGTTCATCAAAAGCCACCAAAATGTTCCTTCAGATATCTCCACAGTTGTATTTGGAAATATAGTTCAAATGTTCAGTTTCGATATGGTTTTCTTAAGACTCAAATCGTCAACTAGGATCTAAGTTTGAAGAAAGAGCCCGCTTCACTTCTGCGCTGAGCTCACGCAATTAATTATTAAAAATAAATTCAGACCGATTTTCCAGAGGTCATCTCCATTAGCAATAAAAAATATCTCCTGATATTCTGATCAACGTGTCAAAATGAAGCTTACAGCTAGGAATCTGAAAATATATTCAAACCCTGAAGTTTTTTTCTCGGCGTATTAAAATATTTGTACAAAATTTCAACTCCGACACAAAAACTTCTGATAAAACTGTTTGACAACCAGTCCTACGTCTTACCTGAAGTCCTAAAGACTAACAGATGGATGTTAGGCTAGAAGCAGAGGTGGAGAACTCCAGCTTCACTTGGTAAAAAGAGAAAGTGAAACACTAACCACCTGTCACTCATGTCCTCATCTGAGCCCTTTTGCTCCTCCAGCTCCATCTTGTCCTTGGACCCAYCCACTGGAGGAGAAAGGGGGTCTTCGCTCTCAACCACCACCCCCTCGTCAGCAGCTTCCACTCCCAGTCTGTGGGCGCCCAGCTTCCTCTTCTTGATCCGGTTCTTCCCTCCCCCGGACCCTATCAGACCCCCTCCACAGAGCTCCGGGGCTCCCCCGCCCTCGCCGGCGCCCAGTCTGTGCGGCCTGCCGCCGACGCGGGCTTTGGGGACAGGCGGAGGCCCGAGCATGATGGAGGAGTGGGGTTCGGGTTCTGCGGGCGGGTCGACGGCCATGCGTTTGACCTTACGGCGCCGCCTGAGGCTGCGGGTTCCCTCTGCCGAGCCCAGAACAGCCAGGTCGTCGGGCCAAAACGGGCGTTTGCTTCGGCCCAGGTCGGCCGTGTGAGAGGGTCGCCTTTTGGGGCCAAGCTGGTCGTCGGAGTCGCTGTTGTCACGGGCGTGGCTATTGGCAGCGGAGACTCCTCCTGCGCCGGCACGGTAGTCCTGCAACAAAAGTGCCAGTGGTTAAAAACGTCAATAAATGATAACATACCATAACGGGTATCAATACGCTCCTCCCGACATAGCACCCACTGCAGCTTATGTTTAAACAGCTTAAGGATCTGGCTAAGACCTTTCRATTCGCCATCCCTTCACCGGGCCTCACCTTATGCTCCTCCACGCTGGACTCTGAGCCCTCGCTGAGGTGGCCCGCCTCCCACGGCGGATGTGGGTTGTCCGAGCGTCGCTTCCTGCCCCTTCGCTTCCGAGCCTGCCTCTTCAGCAGACAGCCCACCGCCAGAGCATGGTCTCCGCCGTCGCCGAAGCCGCCGCGAGCAGCCTGCTCTGAGCTCTCCTCCAGCGCTGACACCAGGTCATGGACCAGCTCGTCCATCGTCCGGCGAAAGTGCCTGCGATAGAGGACAAAAAAGGGAGTTCGGGGTGGGGTTACTTTTTTATACATTTAGCTACACACCCAAATATCTCTGTAACTAAATTTCCATGTGSTTGATCACAAATTAATTTGAGTAATGGGCTTGTTTTAAATGAACACAATCATTCAGCCCATTTATAAATAGGGTTGTGTGCCTGCCATGTAAACATCACGTTATAGTCATAGATGGAACAAGACAGAAAACCAGGAATCCAGACAACAAACCTCCATTGAAACACTCAAGAATGAACTAGCAGCTGTCATTATCAGCATTACGGATTACTTTATAATACTATAAAATATTTTAATCACGTAGAGCGAAGTTACACCACATAACCAGTTTAATACTTACGTAATTTACAGCTCCGGTAAATGGGTTCAAACTGACAACTAGCTGTTAGCTTAGTGGGCTAGCGGTCTTTAGCTAAGTACCTCATTTCGCGTCAACAAACGCTAAAATGTAACATTCTAATAATCATTTAGCTGCTGCTAAGTAACAACATTAAATGTACTAACTGGTACTTAGATAAAATAATTATGAAGACAGCTTAGCCTTAATAATGTTTAGCTGTTAGCCTGTTAGCTTAGCTTTTTATATATATATTTGCTCTGCAGTCGGCTGATGAGCGAGAGTTTAGGAGACGTGAGCAACATGTCACGTCTCTGTGATTTCAAACACCACCTACCAGCCAGTTCCCGCTTTGCCGATGGTTTTTAGATGACCTGCACGGAACATTAAAGCCACCGAGTGCCAGGTATATTTACCCAGAAACAACAGACAAACGATGAGACATCACAGACAACATACTGACAAATAAAAAAAAAAAAGGGCTAACGATCAGTTAGCTGGATCAATACGCCACCAGAGGACACACCGCGAAGGTAGCAAGGATGATGACTTCAGGTGCGGCGAGAAAATGGGACATTCGCAATGTCGCACGAGAGAACGATTGATGTTGCCGCAAACTGTAGCAACAAATTTTAAAAATGGCTAAACTCAGTATTTAGTGCGGACAATAAAAGTTAAAAGATATTATATATGATATATCTAGACTGAATCTTAATAAATCTACGCTCCTAACTTTTTCTTTATTTTAATCATAGTTTGAGGACAGCAAGTGAAAGCAACGTTTAAATCTGATCCGCATGTAATTGTCACTATCAAACACTAGAGGGCAGTGTAGTATAAATCTTCCATGCACAATTTGCGTAGTTTACACTGAGCCACTAATACTGAAATGATTCAATTTGTTTATTTTTACACAGATTGAACTTTATTGTTGTGGTAATTGCACAGATTGTTTAGATTTTATATGTTTTTGAAAGAGTAGAAGCTAATGGGAAGAATAGTTAATTTTTATGGTTCCTGCAAAGAGCAGCTTCTGTTTGAGCATGGATGAGGTTGGTTGGGAAGGTGGGAAATTTTCCTTGTCTGAAGGGGACTTGGCATGGAAACGTTTGAGGACCACTGACTTAAAGTGCTAGTTCAAATCTTTTGAAAGGGAGTGTTGAAAAAAAAAGTTTATGAACAGTTAATATCTTACCTGTTGAATATGTTGAACAACCTCCATCTTGAGCAGGGGTGCCCAAACATTTTCCCTGAGAGGGCCAAAATGAAAATCTATCCAGGGCTGCGGGCCAAATGCAGTAATATAATACATGAAATACAAATACTTTTTTAAGTAAAGTCCTTAATTTTAACGATTAAGCTATGCAATGGCCATCTTTTGTTTTAGTCTGAGCACTTGGAGAAAGTCTGCCATACGTTCAAGTAGCAAAGGCTCATGGGACATTTTATAAATTGATAAAATATGASTTTTTGTGGCCTTATAAAGTGTGCAAATCTACATTTGGGGTTAAATCTGATCTAAATATTTCTTGTCATTTCATGTTTCATGTTTAATCCTAATAAATCAAAGATACAGTCAGCACCATAAATGAAAATTACCTTCACTACAGCCCTTTTATATAGTCATTTGACCAATTTTATTACTGTGTTTCTACATAGGATGACATGTTTCAACTTTGTAACTTTGGCAACTGTTGGTGGGCCAAATCAAATAGCTTGGCGGGCCAAATTTGGCCCGCGGGCCCCACTTTGGGCTCCTCTGATCTTGAGCAATAGAGTTTGACTTTGACTGGATTGTTGAGCTTAGAGCTAGTCTACAGCCAACTGCTACTGCCGCTAATTTAAATACATAGATTTTTTTCATAAGATGGTAGTTGTTTTAGATCAGTGTTTCCCAAAGTTGGGGTCGGGACCCAAAGTGGGGTCTCAAAACATCAAGGTGGGGTCCTGAAAAGATTTTAGGAATTAATTACATTTGTGCCTTAGTTGGTACAAAGGAGTGAGGTTAGTGTATTAAAAATGGGTGAATTTAGTATAAAAAATATTGTTACTATGCCCATGTTTTGTTGACCTGATACAAATGTTTATCATCCAAAAATAGCTGAGAGCACAGGTCTCTGCTACTGTTATTTTGTGGGTCAAAATCTGAAAAGTTTGGGAACCACTGCACTTTGGTTCCCAAAGTTGGGCTTGGGACCCAATTATGGGTCATGAAGCACCTTGGATAATCTCCGGAAATCAATTTAAAGGTTATTAAAATAATTGCTGATGTAATATTTTTCCTATAACTATTACAAAAACACAAAATAAGTATTTACAGATTGTCAAAAAGCCCGTGTTTTTTTTTGGGTTATTAACAAAGTTCGTGTCCTCAGACCAGTAATATTTGGGGTCACAAGTTTTTGCCATGGATAGTTTGTGGGTCAGAAGATAAAAAGTTTGGGAACCACTGTTTTAGATGGTAGTTATGGTTCCACTTAGACAAGCTGATATTGTATCTTTCTGGTCAGAATCAAACAGAGGATGCACAAAGCCCTACCTACAACAGGTAACATATTAAAGTCTGTATATTCAATATGCTTAACTCATTATGTGAAAACAGTATTATCAGCAGAGGTTTGAAAGGCACATGTGTACTAGTGAAACCAGGACGTCCCCCAGAGCAGCAGGTGTTCTCATCTGAAAACCTGATAACACCACTGTGGTCATGGAGAATGGGGGTGGGGGGATCATTGGAAATTTACAAGTCAAGGGCAGTTGAAGGTCTAGATTGATTGTTTAACAAGTGTATGATCATGGAAGACTGAAGACATCCACCTAAATAAATATTATGTCAAAAGAATTTCACCAGATGCCCGAAGAGTCAAAGGTCCCCGTGCATGACGACGGCCACTTGAGGGGTAGGCTCGGGTTTCTAACACGAGGCCCCCCCTCCAGGTAAATTTAGCAAGACGCCGTTCACTTACACTTGACCGTCAGACACTTCTCGAGCTCGGAGAGCGAAGACACACTTTCTAGAGGTTCTGGTTCTTGTGGAGTTCTTGCATGTTGCACGTCCGAGTAGTGACCCACGACCAAAATAAAGCCCAAAACAAAAAACATATGATGGAATCATGACATCAGGTGTGGATGAAGAGAAGTTTGATGAAGCTGTTCAGGACTCCACCGACACCACCTGGAGCTGGGTGAGTGTGGGGGGCATGGATAAAAGCCTTTTGACGTGCTAGCAAGTTTTACTTTTAGCCAACATTTTGCTTTTAGTTAGCTTTTTGCAATATTTATACAACCTTTTAGCTAACCTTTTGCTATTTTAGCTTTTAGCTCACATTTTGCTACTTGTTTGCTTTTGGTTAGCCTTTTGCTCTATGTAACATATAGCAAATGTTTTGCTTCTTTTAGCTTTTAGCTAGTGATCAGCTTCTTTTGCAAATTTCAGCAAAGTCAGCTCTTCATGCATTTAGGCAGAAAAATGTAAATTCTTTAAAAAGGTTGAAAGACATAACTGTAACGTTCTGTGACCGGTTCTGTCAGAGCAGTGTCAGTGTGTGTGTGAGAGAGAGCAGCAGGGTGTGTTTAGATAATCCCACACGTAAAACGACCCGCTGAAAGTGAAACTTGGGAAGGGGTGACGTGAGGCGACGCGTCGAGCCGGGTGGAGTCTGCAGGGATCAGGTGATCCTCTCGGTCAGAGCGGGAGAGGACTGTAGCAGAACAGCACATTTGTGACACACGATGACAGCCTCCAACACCAATTGGGTTAAACYATGCAAAAAGTTCTGTTTTATAAGAGCCATGTTTGTCAATTTAAACAGGTTAATAAACACCATAATTTAATTATAGGATGAGATAGACATTGCACTTGTAAAATGTATTAAATACTGTACAGATATGAATGTTAAATATGTTGTATCTTACATTTATGATGATTAATTAACACTTCTGCTTAAATAATCATTCTGAACCTGTGTCCAGATAAATGTAAGATTTCCTTAAGACAAACTCAAAATTATATTACTGATGTTTCAGTAAAATAAAAACAGTGATTTATAAAAACACAATGAAAACATGGTGATGATTTTCTGTGATTCATTAATCTATTTTAGGCACGATAAAAGAATAGAAGTGATTCTTTCTTCTTTGTGACATGTCATTATATGATTAACAAA